AACTAGGAACTGGGACAATCTGGAGTGTAGGCTGCTCTGGCAATGCTGTGCACTGCTCAATTTAGAGATTACATGTGGCACCATTTGAATGGGTGAAGGTGCCCAAACAGGAGCAGACAAGCTGAGGTGACAGCAGCTCTGGTATCCAATCTGATTGTACAACCAGATTAGTCTGTGTCAACACACAGCATTGCACAGTAACTTACTGCTAAAGTAGAACAACATTTCAACGATAGATCTGCAATGTGGCATATGCAAGAACAATAAACCAATTACAACAATATGTGATAACGTAATTTATACTATCCATAGCCCTACACAGGTTGCCTTACACGCTCCAAACAACAGTGTTCCACAGACTGACACTAGTTACAGTTAGGTACCTACCACAATGACTCCTGCACATTGAACTGAAGGATTTTTAGTATCAGCACTTCAGTGGTGCCAATAACCTGTTATTGTTAACGTTATTTATTTCTCTGCAATACTGAACCTTTCTTCACTGGAGAAGATAAGGTTCAGTTGTAAAAACTCCTACTGTATTTGGAAAGGCAAGTTTGCTTGGCAAAACAAAGCTTCTAAGTCCTTATAAATGCTTTTGTCTACAACCTTGCCATTTATTCAATGCACAGGAGACAGTTATTTCCTTGTAAGCTTCACAGTTCTGATGTTTAAACATGTTTCCGTGTTTACTACAACACATGGAAGTTGCTCAGATGGGTGCTGCTAAAGTTATGGTAAATGTGAGTAAACCATCCATTAGTAAACAGCTTTGAACTGAATACAAGTGAGTTTTACAATGTTTTATCACTTGCTAGCTGAAGCAGTTATATTTTTTTGGCAAGGAAAAAAATCAACATCCATGACAGCTGCTCTTTTTTTAAGCATAATAATAAAATAGTCCTTGCCTTTGATTCTAGCACCTTATCACATCAGAATGTCAGAGGTTTCTATAAAGTGTAGTGGTTGTGTATTTGTAGGTAAACACAGCAGCCAGTTTGCACACAGTAATGTCCCACAAACAACCATGGATTGACTGACCAATTATTTTTTGGCCTGGGGAAATGCTCTATCACGCAAAGTCCCAGGGTGGGGCTTCAACCCACAACCTTCTGACTCAGAAACGAGAGTGCTACCAACTGAGCCAGGCTAACACCTAAATAATATTTGAGTAGAATGAAAACACAGTGGCATTGGAGGCAACATGCGAGATCTATTGCTGTTCAGTCCTATCTGCAGTAAAAAGCACACATAAATATGATGCAACATTTATTATAAGCAATGAAGGGAGATAACTCAACACATAATGTGCAGCTGCAGGATTCATGAAAATTTCACGCTGGACTGTGTTGGCCACCAGAAAGCTCACAGGGAGTCCCTTTTACCTGTTATCCATCTGGTGAGGCTCAGGCCTGTGCTTGTCGGATATCAAATAATCAACTGGTGACTATTCTCCTCGGGTGGTGGTGGGGGGTGGGGGAGGGTGTGGTGGTTGGAGATAAGTGGGGTGTCCTTGCAGCTGAGCTGGCTCCAAGGAGATGCGGTTGGCAATGGTATTGAGTGATCTCGCTGCTACAGTCTCGATAGTCTGGTTCCTGAACCAGATGCCTTTGCAGTATTCCAGCTCACAGCTGATGACAGAGCAGCCATCCTGGCTCATGGGGTGGGGGGGGGGGGGGGGGGGGGAGGAACTTGAAAGGGGACTAGTCTGGTCTGGAGACTGTTAAACATGGTGCCACACACCCATCTGTTACATATGGAAAAATCACATAAATCAACAGCTATAACGCAGGAATGTTGGTCTATCCACTGGGAGACCCGGCGTTTCAATTTCAGTATCAAGTAATATTTAAGCTTTAGCTTTAGCTTAAATATTAACAAATTAATGGATATCATATGGATGAATTTAGCAGCTTTGATCCTGTCACTGGGCTGGTTGCACAAGCATAGGAACATTAGCTGGAAGAGCTTCCTTCCTCCCACTCCAGCCTGCCCTGTCCTGACCTGACTGAGTGTCTGATATTGACACTGACTGACTGCATCAGGGAGTTATCAGGTAGTGGTCACTAGCCTGATCACCCAGCTCTTTGGTCTGATGACATTTTCATCCACATCTCATTGCAGTCATTATGGAACCAGAAAAATATTTTGATTTTCTTATCATTTTTTGATGTCCAGGGCCTTGGGACGTCATCCCGACATGAAAAGCACTGTGTAAATGTAATTTTGTATTGTATTGTATTTCAATTGCAGGTTGGCAGCCAGAGGTGGAGGTACGGAAAGGCCTGAAATCTGAAGTGGGGGGGAGGGGGCGAGCAATCGATGCTGTGAAGAATGAGTTTCTCCAGAATCCTAGAGGTTGATTTATAATAATAAAAATCCATGCATTTGATGTAGCTCCTTATCATGTTTTCGAGACGTCACAAAAGCACTTCACAAAATATACTGTAAAGTGAATTGCCTGTATATTTTAGGGGCGAAATGCAGCAGCCAATTGCACACAGCAGTGTCCCACAAACAGTTGTGGATTGAGTGACCAAATTAATTTTTTAAAGCAATTATTACCACTGGAAAAGCGATCTGCCAATCAACTAACAACCGGGTTCCTACTTACTGCTGGTAAACAGAGGTGTGAGGAAACTTGCCCAGTGTTTCACCCTGCCTAAGGAATCGAACCCACGTCCTCTCGCTTGCGAGGTGAGTGCTCTAACCACTGAGCTACAGGACTCCACATTTGTCAAGCTACATTTTGGAAAAGTATATTTTACTGGAATCCAATGCTGGTTGTGAATTGGGAACTATGTGGCAAGTCATTTTATTAGCTGACAGTAATTTGATACTCCAATAGTCTGAACAGAACACTAAGATTAAACAAATGCTGTGTTATGTTTGAATCAGGAACATACCTTTTTTTTATACTGTTTTCATTTTGTTACTGGTAATTAATATTATTCATCTGATACCATTTCAACAATTCATTTTGTGCCTTTTATAATGCAGGACTGAGAATATTGCACCTTTTGTTAAATCAAACTATATTAATACCACAAGGATACGAACAATGATTCACAAAAGCATTTGGGTACTGACAGACAGGCATTCTCTTCTAGAAATGAATGTCAAAGTCAAATTAAGTTCAACTTGTTCTCTGTGCAATGCAATATGCGATCCTTCAGCAATATTTTCTGCATCAGCTATTTTGGACTAAATTTCTATTTAAACATTACCCAGAGCAATATGCTGGTCATGGCATGGTGTGACTCCTCTGACAAATGCATTTTCTCAGTGTCACTTGACCTTGTCAGCATCTCCAGGACAATTTATTAATTACATAGGAATGTAGCAGACCGGAAAAGATCATTGTGGTCCACCTGGTTTGTCCCCCAACGTGATAGAAGTACAGTGCTTAATCTTTCAGGACCTTCACTTTATTTCTTTGCGAAATCAGCACCTTGCTAGAGTGCAGGTTCACCATTAACGCGGGAGGCCTGTGGAACAGCCAGTCCATGCTAAAACACGGCCGACTTTTGGGTTGTCAGATCACTGATGTCACCATTGTATTTTGTATGAGAACCCGGCAGTCACGTTGCGCACAGCAATATCCCACAAACTGTCATGAAGTTATCTGAAGAATTCTTTGCTCGGGCACCAAGAGAAATTCCCTTCTGTTTTCTAGTAATCCCGTGAGATCTTTAACATTCACCTCAGCTTAACATGTCATTCCAAGAACAGTATCTTTGATACTCCCCCAAGATTACAATGGAGATTATCAAGATAGACTTTGAGCTCAAAATCATGATGTGGGTTTGAACACACAACCTTCTGACTCAGAGTCAAGATGCTACCAACTGAGCCAGGCTGACACCTGGTTGAATATCCAGGGTGGCAACACTCGATTCTGGATGGCGAACAGTTTCAGCTCAGAAACTGTTCTCAAAAATGATCCTTATTGTTCTTTGTGCAAACTCTTTCAAAAAGGCAGACTCACTTCTTATGCGCGCAAGATTAACAAAGCTAAACAAAGCAAGATATAAATCGATCATCTGCTGTGGCAACATTAATTTCGTAGCAAATAATATTCCTGTCCGAATATGTCTGTGTTTCACTGAATATTTAAAGCTATCAGCTCTAGTTCATCCAGAATCCCCAAATAAATCTATTTAAGGCACAAAACCATTAAATTAGGCTTAACATTAAAATAATTACTGTCCCCCATATGTTGGGATTCGGTGTACTACAGATGTTTTGATTGTTTTCCCATATTGTGAGGCTACAGATTTGCTCACGCTAGGATTTTAATAATTTTATGTATTCAATCATTATAACATTTTCAACAGCTGGGAATACTAAAACTTCTGACATCAGTGTTCTGAACAATCTCACTGGTCACTGCCCAAGAGAGAACAGTTGCTTGTTTCAGCAACACTTGCTGACTAAATACTGGCTTATGCACGCACTGTAAAGACTTTGATTGCACTTGCAAGATTTACAGTAACAGTGCAGTTTTGCAATTTAACAATTAGCATGAGATACTTGCACTTTTCATCAATTAACCGGACCTAAATATTTGGGGAATAACCGGGAATTAAGACAAATTAGCCCACTTTTAAACATTAAAAAAAATGCTTTATTTAACTAATACTATTGCATCACATTACAGAACAATACTTACGATTTCCAGCATTGGTATTCGATGAGTTAAAAGAGAAATTGTACATTTAGCAAAACAGAGTTAACCTACTTTCTGGCACAGATATACAGTAAACTCCCGATAACTCAACCCTGGCTTAATTTGTCACGACCACTTAAGTCATCACTTTGTCAATATCCTGCCTCATTTATTTATATATTTATACATATGCCTTACTCGCATACTCCAGAATATTCATCACTGAGCCCTATCCCCTCAGAGTGATGAGTTATCTGAAGTTACTGTCTATCATTCAATGCTGAATATAATGTTTAATAAACTATTTCTTTTTTTTATAAAAAAAACTTACCTATAGTTACCTAAAAACACTCCATCGGGGTTCAGCATAGGTACTATTTTAAAGACCAGATGATCTCGCAGAATCTTAGCTACTGGGTGCTGGCTGATAAGAAAATCAATAACACCTAGGAACAGAAAAATATCATATTTTATAAAATGTTATAACAGCCAGACTCTTAATACTGTTCAGCTCAGGTTTCTGATACCAGATCTCGTCTGATGTTATTGACAAGACGAGAAGGCTGTTAGCTAGTTCTTTTCAGATAAAGCTTTGAACTTGCAGTGTACTATAAAGTCTTAGGGGGGGACAAAAGGCTGTATGATTTCCAACCCAGCTGTCTCACCAAAATCTGTTCCTACATGAAACGTTGTGCACAGAAAAGTTTCAATGTTTGGCTGTGTTAGCATCGTCGGAGAAACACTGTCTAAATCTGACTGGCAAATTAAATGGATCGAACTTGGGTTCAAAGAATTCACTCACCACATAGGCTGGACTGAGCTACCTCTAGCTTGGTTCAACTGAAAAGCAAAGCAACTAACCCAGATTAAGAGTTTTAGCAATAGGTTTCTTTTCTTTGTGGAGTCCTGTAGCTCAGTGGTTAGAGCACTCGCCTCGTAAGCGAGGGACCTGGGTTTGATTACCGGTAGGGCAAAATGTTTCCTTACTCCACATGCTTGTTTACCTAGCAGTAAGTAGGAACCCGATTGTTAGGCGATTGGCGGATCACTTTTCTGGGGATAATAATCCTTTAAAAATAAATAATAATTTGGTCATTTGAATGCACGACTGTTTGTGGGATACTGCTATGCACAATTGGCTGCTGTGTTATGCCCACAAATATAGTCAATTCACTTTAGTATATTCTGCAAAGAACTTTGAGACGTCGAGAAGACGTGAAAAGCACGATATCAAACACAAGGATTATTATTACTATTTTCTCTCTATATCTGCTCCTTCATTGTTTCTTTCTCTGATTGTTTGTGGCATGTTTGCCTTGTAGAGTGATGCAGTGGTAGAAATGCCATCCTTCCAATAAGATATCGAACCGAGGTGCTGAATGCCTGTTCTTCAGACAGACATTAACAATCTCATGAAGCTGTTTGAAAGTTTCCCGCAATGAATGAGCCTCTGAGTGCAGCATTCGTCTGCACCTTTTTTATGCAAAATGGCTGCTGCGCCTGCATATAAAAAATAGATAATAATAATAATAATCCTTGCATTTGATATAGCGCTTTTCACGTCGGGAGGATGTCCCAAAGCGCTTCACAGAACAGACTGTAAAGTGAATTGACTGTATATTTGTGGGTGAACCCGGCAGCCAATTGCGCACAGCAATGTCCCACAAACAGTCGTGGATTGAAAATGACCAATTAATTATTGTTTTTGGTTTTGGAGGGATTATTATTAGGCTCTGTGTGGAGTAAGGAAACTTGCCCAAGGTTTCGCCCTCTGCCTGGAATTGAACTCAGGTCTCTCACTTGCAAAGCGAGTGCTCTAACCACTGAGCTACAGGACTCCACATATTAGATACTACATCTAACAGGAATTACTCTAAATTTGTTTTGATGTGATAAAATGTATAAAATGCTATTTTCTGCTTGTTTCATTCTTTCTTTGCTCATTAGATTTTCATCTGCACTAAATCTGACGGAAGAATTCATTCACTCTGTTAAAATGAACAGTTTATAGCAACTAAAATGTTACTTTGGAAAAATATATTGACTTGACTTTCTTACTGGCATTTATGACAACCCTGGCAATTTTCCACCAATACTGGTGAGACGTCAACAAAGCTTACTACTGAGGTAAAACATGCATCTAGTCTGAAAGATGCCCACATAATTTTTAAAACACTAAATTGGTAATTCCACACAATGTAACAATCTACCTACAGAAACAGTATATGGAGTTTAAATATTGATATCCTTCTGGCAGATTTATTCAAAACAGTTCATCTACCTTCAAATGAGATATCCTCCTGATGTGAAAGGGCTACCCAAATGTAAGGATTATTATTATTTATTATTAATCACAGAATAATAGAATTATGCAGCACAGAAGGAGGCCATTTGGCCCATTGGGTCTGTGCCGCTCTTTGAATAGAGCTTTCCAAATCAATTCCACTCCCCCATGCTCTCCCCATAGCCATTCAAACTTGCCCTTCCAAAATAATTATTTACTTTCTTAAAAGTTGTTATCGACTCGGCTTCCACCAGCCTTTCAGGTAATGCATTCCAGATCCGAACAATTCGCTGTGTGAAAACATTTCTCCTCCCCTCCCCTCTATTTCTTTTATCAACTATTTTAAATCGGTGTCCTCTTGTTACCGACCCACCCGCCAGTGGGAATAGTGTCTCCTTGTTCACCGTATCGAATTCCCTCATAATTTTGAAAACTTCGATTAAGTCTCCTCTTAACCTTCTCTGCTCCAAGGAGAATAATCCCGGCTTCTCTCGCCTCTCCTGATAACTGAAGTCCCTCATTCCTGGTACCATCCTGGTAAACCTCCTTTGTACCCTCTCCAATGCTTGACATCCTTCCTAAAGTGTGGGGCCCAGAACTGAACCCAGTCTCTAACTGAGGCCTAACCAGTGTTTTATATAAAGGCTCATCATAACTTCCTGACTTGTGTATTCTATGCCCCTATTTATAAAGCCCAGTATCCCGGATGTGTTTTTAACAGCTGTATCTACCTGTCCGGCCACCTTCAAAGATTTACTATATGACCCCCAGGTCTCTCTGCTCCTTCACCCCCTTTAAGATTGTACCATCAGCTTTTATTGCCTCTCCTCATTCTTCCTCACAAAATGCATTACTTCACATTTCTCCACATTAAACTTCATCTGCCACGTGTCTGCCCATTTTACCAGTCTGTCTGTGTCCTCTTGCAGTCTGCTCTTTGGAAATTGCCCTCCCTATACTCAAGTCCAGGTCATTTATATAGATCATAAACAGCAGTGGTCCCAATACCGACCCCTGGGGGACACCACTGCACTTCCCTCCAGTCAGAAAAACAACCGTTCACCATCACTCTCTGCTCTCTGTCTCCCAGACAGTTCTGTATCCGCTGCCACTGTCCCTTTAATACCGTGGGCTTCTATTTTGCTGTCAAGACTCTTATGTGGCACTTTATCAAACGCCTTTTGAAAATCCACATAAACTACATCAACTGCACTACCTTCATCCACCCTCTCCGTTACTTCATCAAAAATTCTATCAGGTTTGTTAGAAATGGTTTGCCTTTAACAAATCCATGTTCATTGTCCTTTATAAACCCATATTTTTCTAAGCAAAAATGTATTTTGTTCCGGATTAATAATAATAAAGAACAAAATGACATTCCAGAACATCTCCCATACTCGTTCTCTTCAGAGTCATTACAAAATACACAGGGCACTACATTTTACAGTACTGTATATCCTGTGAAGTGGGTCCAAATACGCAAGGTGCTGTGTCAAATGAAAGGATTATTCAAAGAATAAGAGGCAAATGGGGTGATGGACTGGAGCATTGTCATTGCACCTGGAACAATGCCCTCAGCACCAGTAATAGCTGAAGTAAATAGAGGAGGGAGATATTACTCATCACAGGCCTTATTGCAGATCTGAGCTTTTTGGTTAAAATCAGTTGGGCCATGGTTCACATGTTAAAGCTGCTCCACTGTTGCACTGCTTTTTTCACAGTAAATGGTTGCATCAAGCAGCACTACACCAATTTGCTCCCGAGCTGTATTTACTTTATTCCCCATTAAAGACAAAGGCGAAAAGGAAACACAGATTAATCCCACTTAAAACAACCTTTTTAAATATTTTGTTTTGCTCAAAAGTGCCTTTGTAATGTTTTTGCTTCCCCCACAAGGTACCAATTTTGCCTTGCACAATAAACTAAGACAAACCCACAAGAGACAAGCAATGAAAATCACTGTTTCAGGTGAAATAATAGTAATGAATTATGCTGAGTTACCCATTTGAACAATGCGCTGACCCAAGTCAATTATGTTCAGAAAACATGTGATTGATGTAAGATTATTAAACCTACTAGATAGCAGGGCACCAGTCATTCTCCTGACAAATCAATGCAAACTGCATTCTGCAGCCGATGCTATCAACTGGAGACAAATTAGAGGGTCTCATTAAGCTGAGCTTCAGGATTCTCCAGAAGTAAAGGCACAATCAAGGATGTAATGTCATTGCTTCAGATTAAAAAGAGAAACAGAAGCTGTGATTTATTTTGCGCCAGTTGCAACATTTCCCAGTAAACAGGAAAGCAAAGGCTAACAACACTGTTCGCTCTCATTACTAATACATCCTTAAATTCTCCTTAATTGACCACAGCCATGGAATTTCTCATACAAGGGCGCTACATAAACAAGGCCATCAAAATGCTACCTCTCAGATCCCCTATTGGAAATCAAACTGCTCCCTGCATGCTATAAATTTCCTCTGCAGCTGAGTAGATTAATTGCCAAACCAATTAGACTAATATTAGGAGAAGTGCTATACACAAAGGCTGTGGCTGTGCTGGAGGTCAGAAAGATGAGAACAAACAAATCTTCTTGTAATGAGAGTTAATTTTTTTTTGAATTTTCAAAAAAACCTAGACAGGAAGAACTAAGTGCATTAGATCCTCATCAGTCAGTAATTACGTGCTCAAGAATAGTGGCAATAAGATGCCAAATGGCTATAATGATGCTTACATGTCTGGACAGAGCTGAAGACTCATATAAACAGGCACATTTGAAAAACTGCCTGAAATAATAAACCATCTGTTTTCAACATATTAATTGATAATACCATTGAACCTTTTAGTGGTTTAGACATGTTTAAATATAGACACAGCTATCTACTTTCTTGAGATATGCACCCAAATCTTTAATGATACGCCTTGATCTTACCAAACTCATTCAAGAAGAGCTAATTCATGCAATGCAACAGTCTATAATGGTAGCTCCAAAACCTACTGGCCAATGCTTGCTCCCTCACATGCACATAGGACTGCAGCATTGTATTTCTTCATCGCTTTACAAATGAATGAATAAAACACAAGGTGTACACCAGTACTATAAAACCTATGGTCCCTTGCTGACATAAGGGTGAGGATAATTTCTTCATGAGGTGACATTTC